ATTAATTTCTTTCTATTTTTAGTAGAGACGGGGTCTCGCTCTTGCTCAGGCTGGTTCCAAACTCCTGAGCTCAAACAATCTGCCCGCCTTGGCCTCCCAGAGAGCTAGGATTACAGGCGTGAGCCACTGCGCCCAGCCTAATTCTTATATTTAATGTAAATACTTCTAGAGAATGTTGCTAGAGAAAACTTTTCAAGGATAGGGAATAGGGAGGGCTGTGTCTCTGGTTGCCAGCAAGCAACTTTGGAGGTTGGTGTTTTTGGTTGGTTGGTTGGTTGTTTTTTCTGGCACTTTGTTTCTTGGGTGGAGCTATTCTAGGTCATTTCATGGGGGAAGCAACATTTTATTTCTCCTGGTTGTTCAACCTCAGCTTCATGCTTACACTGGCCAGTGGCAAGAGCCCCCTCTCTGGGAAAGCATCAGACCCCAGTCCCTAACCCCCAGCCTTCAAGGCCTAGATCCTGTTCACATGACCCATGAGACCTTTTGGCTTCAGCGCCTGTTCAGGGCTCTCACTCCAAGTTTTCTTTTTGGTTTTGGAACTTGGGAGTTTTCCTCACTCACTTTGGAGTTTGGTTCTATGTCCAAGAATTATGTGGTTGGTTATTGATTTATTTAGACTTTTTTTTTTTCCTGTTATGTTTGTTCTTTTTCTTCCTCTTCTTCTCCTTTTTCTTTCTTTCTTTTTTTTTTTTCCTTTCCTGATTCCACTTTATTCTCTACTGTTTGGAATTTGGATACTTGATGTCTCTTCTTGAAATTTTCCTATGCATACCTAACAAAGTCTAAAGTTAGACAATGTCTTAACTTCCCTCCCAAACAGCACAATGACTTTAGAACACTTTTACCTCATCTCTCCTGTTTTAAATGATTGCTGTCTAGTTCTGTCTTTTTAAACCTATAAATTGGACACTATTGTTATTTTATACAGTGTTTATATTTACCTACCTGTTTTCCATTTTATTTATTCACCATTCCTTCTTGCATCCCAGCTATCTTCAAGGGTTTTTCTACCTAAAATACTTTCTTTTAGGGTAGGTTTCTTAGATTTTGTTTGAATGTAAATGTCCATATTTGGCCCCCATTTTTAAAAGATATTTTTTCTCTGAGTAGAAAATTCAGTTATTTTTCTCTCTCTTCAACGCTTTTAAGATTTGTGATTCTGGCTTCCATTGTTTGTGTTGAAATTTTCTTTTATTCTTACAAGTAAGCAGTTCTTTCTCTCTAATTTCTCTCACAATCTCTGTCTTTGGCTCTTTTTCTTTGGCCTCTGCAATCTAGGTGTGAATGGATTCTTATTTATCCAATCTAGGCTTGGGCAAGGTTGAGCTTCCTGGATCTATGGGTCCATATTCCTTATCGGTTTTAGAAAATTCATACCTATTATCACTTAATCATTTCCCCTGCTTCTCTTGTTATTCTCCTTTTAGAACTTCATTTAGACCTATGTTAGACCTTTTCATGCTATCCTGTAGGTCTCTAACCTCTCTTTTAT